AGAGTTACTCAGCTGTTACCCCTTCTCTTTGTTGCTTCTGTTTGGAGACTGAGTCCCTCTATGTAGCTCTGGATGGCTTCAAGCTCATTACAGTAGCTGAGGATGACAGAGAATTCCTGATCCTTCTGCCTCTGCCTCTCAAGTGCTGGGTTTGGCTTTTAAACCTTAGAGTCAATTTGGGATGGGATGCTAGCTGCTGCTGAGCCCACTTGTCTGTGAGACCCGTTTCTGTGTCCTAGCTGCCCCAGCCTCAGTCTCCCCAGCCGGGCATAGGGATCCATTAGGACACCTTTAATCCCACACCAGTGATGAAGCAGGGGGCTCTCAAGCTCCAGAACAATCTGAGCTATATACAAAACCCTGTCCCAGTTGATGTCGGGCATGCCGTGAACATCTTATGTTCAAATGTTGGCAAAGTCTAACCCAATGAGTGCCACCCTGAGAAGTGAGGTCACACCTGTGCACCCCTGGAGTTTCTGCTGAGCATGGCTTTGCCTCATGTTTCAGACTTGATGCTCCTGGGGACAGAGACACCTCCGCCCCCACTCCTGTGCTTGAGACCCTCAAAAACAAAAGGAAAACTGAAGTCAAGACTTCTGATCCAGTCTGGAAAACTATTCACCCTTGAAAGCCCAGATTGAAAACTCCCTGCCCTCCAGACCCTGGCCCTACAAGAAGGAGTTTTTGTGCCTCTTTTGCCTTGACTTTCTGACTCGGGTTCCTAGGAATCCTTATCTAAGCACAGCTCCGCATGTAGCTGTCTTGGGAGGAGGGTCTGTGTGTACCTGTGTTCTGCACAGGATCCTCACAAGATGCTGGGCTAACCTATACATTTCATGAAAAGGACTGGGAGAGCCTGGCCCTTTGGGGGTTCATGTCTCCAGAAACCCTCAGGCAGGAAGAGGGAGTGGGAGCTGTGGCCTCGCCTCTGCCTGGCTCAGCCATGCTCCAGCACTGTCTGGGGCCAGGCAGCCTTTGAGGACATAACTGAGGTCTGGCGGTGCTGCCTGCTCCAGGGCTGAGTCAGCAAAGGGAGGGAGGGACTCAGGCCTCTACTACAAAAGCAGCTGGGATCTTGAAGGCCTGGGGTTCCCCTAGCCCACTCTGTTCTTGGGCTTCAAGGGTGGATGTACCCAGGGCACCCAGCTGTGGGCAGATCTGGAGATCCTGAGGCCACTAGTACAGCATCCTAGGCTGAGGTGACTGTGGGGCACAGACACAGGTGGGTATGGTGTGGCCTCAGGGCACAGGGCTCCATAAAGGTGACAGTGCCCTGCCTCGTGCATCCTAGTCCTAGGGTGATAGACACTAGTTAGGTGTCTAGAAGGTGCTGAGGGAAAAAGAAGGGAATATCTGACTGTAAGAGACAGAGATAGGGTGTGGCCAGGAAAACCTGACCTCAGGCCCGATGATGGGCAGGCAAGTTGGCTCTGACTGACACAGTGGCACTGGGTGAGGCCATGTCTGTCTCCCCATGTCTACGTCCAACAGCTGGGAGTCCCCTCTCCCCATGCTGGTCCCCTCAGCCTGGTTTCTGTTCCCACCCCAAGACCTCATCCCACAGAGGTGCCATGTATTCCCCCACTAGCTGGAGACAGTGCCTGCCAGGCCAGATTCAGTCCTCGGGGTCTGAGACCAGCATAGACCCATCCCTGAGGCTGATGAGAGAGACAGACAGTGGGGAAGTGGTGGGTGGCCACTCCAGGCCCACGAGGCCCCTACAGGAAAGCCAGGGATGTTCTGCCAGGACTGAGCTGTAGAGAGGGGGTGCTGGGCCATGTGGGGAGAACAGACCTCAGTGCCACCAGAGAAGCAGGTCTTAGAAGCAGAGCTCATGGGAGCTGTAGGGGAGTGGAGGTCTGTCCTGAGAAATTGTGTAACTTAGGCTGGGGCACCAAAATGGCTCAGCAGGCAAAGGTGCTTTGAAGCACAAACTGGAGAATATGAGGTCAATCCCTGAGACCCACATGATGGAGGAAAGAGAAAACCAATTCTACAGAGTTGTCCTCTGACCTCCATACTCCTATGATATAAACACACCCACACATGCCCAAAATGCAGGGAAAGGAAGGAGGGAGGGAGGAGGAAGGGAAGAGAAAGTGAGAGAGGAAGGGAGGGAGGGAAGGAGGGAGGAGAAATTGTCTTCTAGAGGTTTCTTACTCTAGAAGTTGCTCCCCTCCCTCCATGTCTCTTGCTCACTTGTCCCTCCAGAATGCACATGCTGTTCCAGTTGCCCATGCCTTTCCTGTCTCATCTACCCGCCAAACCCTAACACAGCTTCAAGACCCCTCCTAGCTCGGCATGGTAGCTCACATCTCTTCTGCGGTGCTCAGGGTAGAAGTTCAACCCTGATCTACATGAGGCCGTCTCTAAAAAACAAACAGAGATGGCCAGTGACTGTCCCCGCCAGGATATAAAGTTACAGTGTCTGTATCCCCCAGTTACAGTGTCTGTCTGTATCCCCCAGGGACAGTGTCTGTATCCCCCAGGGACAGTGTCTGTCTGTATCCCCCAGGTACAGTGTCTGTATCCCCCAGGTACAGTGTCCACACTAGCTGAGGCTTTCAGCTATGAAACAGAACCCAGTCATTTTCCCTAAAAACAAAGCTTGGGCTGGGCGGTGGTGCACACCTTTAATCCCAACATTCGGGAGGCAGAGGCAGGGGGACCTGAGTTCAAAGCCAGCCTGGTCTACAAAGTGAGTTTGAGGCCAGCCTGGTCTACAAAGTGAGTTCTAGGACAGCCAGGGCTGTTATACAGAGAAACCCTGTCTCGAAAAACAAAAGCAAAAAACCAGAGCTTGGAACCTCAATACACTGTGTATACATTAAGGTCCCTTAAAGCAAGTCTAGTCCCCGGGGCCACATCCGGCAGTCCTTGGTGCACATCTGTCTTGCCATCCTTCCTCTTGGATTCTGCTGTGTTCAGACTTGTTTTAAGTATTTTACTGGTCCAATATTTTTCTCTACATCATGGTGTGAGGAATTTTAAGAACCCCTGGTTCTAAAATTATAAAATCTAAAATGTCAGGGGCAGGACATTGGGCCTCCTGTGCCCTGAGCTGACCTCAGGGTGGCAGGAGCTGGGTCTCTGGGGGGTCTTGGCCCTGATTATCCCCCCCCCCGCCAAGGGCGTGTCCTGGCAGCCTTGCTGGGGGTGGAGAGGGTAATGGATTTTCCAGAAGCTGCAGTTGAGGTTCCAGGAGGGAGGCCGGATCTGAGCACCAGGGCAGAATAAAGGCAGAGTAGCCTGCCAGCACAGGGCAGCACTCCCTTCTCTTGGAATCTCCGTTTTCTCATGTGGAAACTGGGGACAAATGTTGCCCTGTTAGTGAACAGGCAGAGAAAGGAAAAGGTTCACAACCCTCTGGGCTCAGCTAGAGGGAGGCTCCCACTGACCCCACCTCACACTAACAAAGGGTCCAGGGCCAAGCCAGTCACCCCCTAAAACCTAGCTGGCAGCTAGAGAAGCCCCAACACTTTCTCAAGGAAGGTATTTGGCAAGAGGGCCGGACACCTCATCAGGGGGCTGGACTCTGAAGCAGGCCCCCCCTTCTACTGCTGGGGAAACGCAGTGCTGGGTAGCCCCTGCACTGCTCCGAGCAGCTCTGAGCACCACCTGTCCTGTACAGGCCCAGCAGAGCCCTGGGGCAGAAGCCAGGGTCTGGACTTGCTAGCTGTTTTTTGTTTGTTTTGGTTTTGGTTTTTCGAGACAGGGTAGCTTTTGGAGCCTGTCCTGGAACTAGCTCTTGTAGACCAGGCTGGCCTCGAACTCACAGAGATCCACCTGCCTCTGCCTCCTGAGTGCTGGAATTAAAGGCGTGTGCCACCACCATCCAGCAACTTGCTGTTTACTGGTCCTTTGGGACTCACATCCCTTAGGGTACAGGAAGGTGTTCCTGGTATGGGTGAAAATGACCTCTGCCAGGAGATGCTGCCCCACAGGGGAGCTCGTGAATGGCTAGGCCTAAGCAAAGTCTGGAAGTTAGTTGAAGTGAAGACATCTGTGGGGTAGCCACATGGGGAAGAACTGTGGTTCACAAGAACTGACCCCAAAAGGGGTCCTGTGTGCTTGGCTGTTGGCCAACCCTCATGGGATCACACAGCTAATCGCCTGATGTCAAAACTTGCATGGTGGGTAATAAAGAAGAGGTGTGTAGGTTCTCTGCTTCCGGGAACTTGGGCAGACACAGGACTCTTTCTTGGGGTGGCGATGTGGCGCAGCTGCACTACTTGCCTGGTGTACACAAAACCCTGGGCACACACCCATCGTCGCAGCACTGACACAGGAGGGTCAGGAATTCAAGGTTGTCCTTGACTATGTAGTGAGTTTGAGATCTCAAACCAAAATGACCAAAATCACCTTTCTCAAGGCGGGGCATTGCAGGGGTCCTCAGGGCCCCTCCTGCTGACACAACTCACATCAGTTTCTTTGGAAAATGGGGGCATGATCAGCACACCTGTGTTGTAGAGTCAGCCTGCCTGCCTGCCTGAGGCTAGGAGGGCACCGATGATGCCTGTAGCCACTGTCGTTGGCCAAGGTGTGGCTGGCCCTCAGCATGAAGGTGCCCAGGCCAGTACAGCAGTCTCTGTTGAGCAAGTCCAAGGCAGTGGTGGTGGTAATGGCTGCTGCCTGCTTCAGGAGCTTTCCTAGCGGCACCCTTCCATGTCCTATAGCTCTGGGCCCCTAGCCAGGCACAGGTGCCAGGAGGCTGCAGCAGTTAGGGAGTCACTGTGTTTTCTGGCCATTGTTATACCCTTGCAGTCAGGCACCTGACACAGGTGTGCCATGCCCCTTGGGAGTCCCTGAACTGCTGACACACAGGACTCTGTGTGCCTCCAAACCTTGTTTGGTGAGTTTTGGCTTTCCAAGACATGTTGGCTCTGTAGCTCTGTAGCTGGATATCAGAATTCCCCTGCCTCAGCTGCCTAGTGCTGGGATCACAACCCGCTCAGCTTCAGTCCCAACCAAGCCTCATCCTTTTCAAAAGACACAACCGGTTGGGAATAAAGCATTTTTTTAATTGAGCACATAGCACCTGCCCCCAAGCAGAGGGCATTCCCAAGTACCCTGGCTTTCACTGCATGGGGACCCCAAAGCACCTTTTCCCCATGGACCCCCACTCACACCTGCTTGGGACTTTATCTCAATAAATATGACCTCAGAACCAAAAGAACCAAAGCTGGGCAGGGAGCCACACACAGATCACAAACAGGCTGCGGACCCAGGGCACCTGAAAGAAAGGACAGGGCATGGGAGTGAACCAGAACCCGCCTCAGCTGGAGTGAAGCACAGGCCTCAGGTGGACAACCATGTCCCCGGCCCTGGCTTCAACCACAGCAGGACATTCTTTCCGGTCACAGAGCCACAGCTGCCTGCCCAAAACTTCCATCAGCACCCGTAGTTTTGGTCTTTACCGAATTCTGGGCAGGAAAGGGAAAACGGGAACCAGAAGCCAGGGGACAAATAGGGCAAGGCTTTTTGAAGACAACAAAGTCTAAAGCAAGGAACAGGAATGAGGTCGTGCACTAGATCACTGTCCGGGGTGCACGCCTAAGGGGCCAGAATCTCTGGCCTGGGTTTGGGCAACCCGGGAATCGCGGGGGGTCTGGCCCATCTCCCTACGGATGTTACCAAGCGCTGATTCCGGGTTCTCCAGCAGCCGCTGGAAGAGGCTGGGTCTGGAGCTGGGCTCACGGCACTGGAAGGTGACAGCCACGCCTGCATCCGCCTTCATCTCCCGGGAGAAGCCGTCGGAGGAGCCGTCGAAGCAGCGGCCGATGGCGATCTCCTTGGCCAGCCGCGGGCTCTGGTCAGTGACCGTATAGACGCCATAGTTGTGGCCCAGCGCGTCGAGCGGAGCGAGCATAGCGAAGGCCGTGGGGTCGTCGTTGGGAGCAGGTGGTGGGTGGCGGGCTAGGTAGTCCTGCAGGAGCGTGTTGACGGCCACGCGGCGGCAGCTGCCCTGCGGGGTCACAGTCACCAGCGTCCTGTCCACCTGGCGCTGGTCAAACAGCATGCCGCCGCACTTGAACTCCACACAGGCGGCCGAGGCGCCGGGGCGCTCGGGGTGGCGCACGCTGCGGGTGTCGCGAAGGCCGTAGAGGCGGCCGCGAGTGGCCGCGTGGGTGCCGCCGGCGTTGTGCGAGCGTACCATGTACTCCTGCGGGCCCTGCAGCCGCACCTTCAGGAAGCACGCGCGGAACTCCTGCGGGTTGGGCCACCAGGCCAGCAGGTCTCCAGTCCACGAGGCGGGCGCTCCTTCCCGGAACGGCACCACGTCGTACTCGTACTTGTCCGCTTCCACGCGCGAGAATCGGAAGTGGTTGTCGGTGACCGGCGCGTCCTCGCAGTCGCGCAGACGGCGCCACGGATACACGGGCCCACGCGCCTCGGACTCACGGCCCGCGCGTGGCCGCGCAAGATTCACGCGGAAGCCGGTGCGCTTGAGCGCCGGGTCCTCGTGGTCGGTGCGCTGGTAGCCGAGGCGC